ATAATGAGTTACTAGCGCCTTACGGCTTATACCATGCTTGCATGCGCGAGTGTGTAAAATTATCTTTCTTGTGTATTTTTACTAAATATAACATATCAAATTGGCTCCCGCTTTTACGACGAAAGAAAGCTTTAAAAACTTTATATTTAGTGCAACATTTTCTATAAAAGAGATGGTTTCTATTTTATTTTATTTTATTGTACTTTCTTCATTACAACTTATACCACATATACAACACATTTCAATGTAGGAAAAAAAAGTTAATTTTCCATAGAAGAGATGGTTTCTATTTTATTTTATTTTATTATACTTTCTTCATTACAACTTATACCACATATACAACACATTTCAATGTAGGAAAAAAAAGTTAATTTTCCATAGAAGAGATGGTTTCTATTTTATTTTATTTTATTATACTTTCTTCATTACAACTTATACCATATATACAACACATTTCAATGTAGGAAAAAAAAGTTAGTTGGCATTCTTTTGGCTATGATGCGATGTTTGAATTTATATTTTGTGAGGAAAAATTGGATTACAAAAGTGTTGTTGTAACGAGGTTGATGAGCATGATATCCAATGATATTTGTGTTGCCTGCAGCTGCAAAAGAGAGTGAGCAATACCTCCTGGAATGAACTATTAGAGGTCACTCGAATGGAATTCCATTTCGAAAAGCATTTGTCAAATAAGTAATCCCTATTGCATGGACATTCTAGATTTTCTACACCTGAGTTTCATCCACCAAAGCGAGCTGATTGTCCAAGCCAAAATTACCTCTTACAACAACATAATGTGATTGAAATAATGATCCTACAACATTGTATCCTAATTTTAATGACTCGCTAATTATAACTTGAAGTTACAATTCAATTTGATCATTATCATGACTTCACATTACGTCATAAACAAAAAGACCTTGAAGGTGAACAATTAATTATTGTTAAATGGGTATTGACGTGTAATATTACAAAATAATTTTAATCATTAATTTTTTCTGGATCCAATATATATCACATATGATTCACACAAATTTATAGTAAAAATTATTTTGTAGCATTGTGAAAGAGGCATGGAATAATTTTTTCTCAAAGGTGAAGCAAACACGAAATCCTCAATAGCCTTGAACATCTAACGTTTCAGCACAGTAGTGAGCCAGAAATCTCTAGTTTGGGTACTAGATTAGTAGGGTGGTAGATATGGTCCTTAATGTTGTTGGGAAAGTTAAAACCAACAACCAAAAGAGAGATTCTTTAAAGACTTTTGCTATGGTTCATCAAACCTCGTATGTAGAAGTCACCTAATTGGTTTGTGTTTGTAGAGTGGTTTTTGAAATAAAAAGTACCAACAATTGTTTAGTTTGTTTTTTTTTTCAGAAATAATTTTGAAAAATTGTTTTAGGGAGGGAGTTTTAAAAAAAATAATTGATTTGATGTGTATGGAAAAGAGAGTAATTTTGGAAAGTAGGTAACTAAACAAAATTTTAAATTTTTTTTTGAAAAAATTTGTTTATTTTGATTATTCTTAAAAATTTATTTGTAGAAATTTTTTTCCAAAAATATTTCTGAAAAACAAACCAAACAAGGCCCATGAAATCCTCCAAATTGACAAGACATGAAACCTTTTTCTTAAATAAGCTATGTGTTGTGTTGGAGAATTGAATGTTTTCTTTTGTTCTTTAGTTACATTAATGTTTTGTTTCTTTTCTTCAACACCATGTGTGTAGTGCTTTCAACTGCATATTATTATTGGACTTTCACATTTGGGTATTATTTTTTCGACAGAATGCAGTTTATAAGTCCTCCAAGAGGGCTGGGTGATCCAGTTCAGGCTTGTGAGCTCACCCTGACTTTACTTTGATCCGTTAATGATCATTTGCATATAAAAAAAAAACAAGGATCTTCTAAAAATTTTTTTTCCTAAAGTTTCTTAGAGTGGTGCATTGTGTGGTTCAGATTTAATGACAAGTCACATCAATTTTTCAGCATTAAATCTCAACTACACAATACACCACTTTAGGAAACTTTAAGAAAAAAACACTCTAGAGGATCCTTGGTATAAAAAAAATTACAATTTGACTCAATCACAATTATCTTCAAACAAAATTAATGATTTGTTTTTAAAATTGTACTTACTATTTATTTTGTTTAAATGCAATAAAATCATGTGATTGTAATTATAGAAAACAAAGAAATACTATAATATATGTTCTGCTAAAATAGTATAGTGCTATTTTCCATACTAAATTTGATATAGAATATAATAATGTTATTTTAAACTACCCTTGTCCAATTGTCTTTTAAAAATAAAATAAAAATTACACCTATGTTATTATAATTTAAGTTTAAGGGAAATTTACTATTCGGGATAGTTTTTGAAAAATTATAACAGTGAAAAAATTTATAATTTTAATTATTAATATTTATAAAATTTATTCTTTTTGTTCCAAAATAATGGTCCCTTTTGGAGAATCCAACTTTTTTTGGTAGTACAATTATTGCATTTGAAAAGAGTTGAGTTTTCAAAATTACCCTTTTGATAGTACATTTTTTGAAAATATCAATGTCATAATTGTACTTTTTATATTATTTATTAATTTAAATGAAGGGCAAAATAGGGTGTAACAACCCTCATACTGTTTACTGATTAATGACCGATTGATCACCGATTACTGTTAAACGAGACTGATAATGACTGATAACTGACTGATAATTGAACTGATTAAAAGTACTGAACTGACTGACTGAAACTGGAAACCGAATTGATTGAGTATATGTTAGTTAAATTGCATTCTATCTGTTTGATTGTATGATTATCTGTTCATACTTATATGTTTAAACTGCTAATTGAAGGCCTTATCGGCGGCCGAATTAGAAATGTTCTGTACTGTTTATGTATGAATGCATGGAAAATCTTTTGCATACAGACTGTCACAGCTCATTGGACATTGTTTACTGTATTGGCTTCCGCCAGGCCCTGTACTCTGTTTTACTGTATTACTGTTAAGCAGGCCTTCGGTAATCTCGGATTACTGGCCGGTTACGGTGCTAAACCCATAGGGCCGGGTTTGGGTCGTGACATAGGGAGTATCATTTTTTTGAATGGTAGTGAAGACAAAATGGCACAGAAAAATATTACACCATTACTATTGCACAGTTTCACACACTCTTGAATGGTAGGATTGATTATAGGATTATTCCAACCACACAATTCATTCAACCCGAATCAATCATGATATAAATGAGTGGTTTTGCAGACATAATGAGGACAAATGCGGTTTAGAATATGACATTTTTACAGGTTGCGGATGGGTTACGGATTTTACCTGCACTTGCAAGAATTCGCCGCACATAGACCTTAAGTCATATTTTGGTTCATTGTTGAAAAAAAAAACTTGAACCATTGATTTCATTCATCACATCTTAAATATTTTTAGATTTTGAATGATTTTACTTTAATTGTATTGTTGGGTAGTAAATGATTTTGATGATATAGTTTAGAATTTTGTGTTTTTAATTTTATAAGTTTTAATTTATTAATTATTAATGTTGTGAGTTTTATAAAATGAGAGGAAAATGACCCAAAATAAATATTTACAAAACAGGAAAAAAAAAACCTAAAAATTTTTTTTTGAAGAAAAAAGTCCAATCCGCAAACCACATGCAACCGCCTGCATATTCTTGAACCTTATCTGCACAAACCACAATCTGCACTGCGAGCGGTTGCGGGTTTAATTTTTCCTAAATCGCACATATTCGGACGGGTCCAAACTGCAAACCGAACCGGCCAAAGCCAAATCGCGGACACCCTTATTGTATAGGGTGCAACCAGGTTCGGTCAAGTTGAAATTCAAGCCTAACTCAAATTGTGTTGAGATCTGTCGAGATTTAAATTGTAATTTGAGATTGTCTGTCGAAGTTCGACCCGAGTTAAATTCAAATTGTTTGAGTTGCATTGTACATGAATTTTTGTTCTTTTGTTTTCCAACTAAATTATTAATTTATTAAAATTATAATATATTTATATATATTTTAGAAAATCATTAATAATATCAAAACAAATAATTTATATAATGTAAGAGAGATAGCTATGATAGTATTTACAATTTATGAATGAAAATAAAAAAGATAAAATTTTGTGTTACTAGTGTATATAATATATATTTAATATGATTTAATAATATAAATTACTTTTTTTTAGATGGCAATAATCTAAATTATTTTAACATCATGTAATAGTTAATAACTTATATGTATATTTAATATTTTTATATATCTATAAATGTATAATTCGGGTTGCGAGTTGGTCGAGTTATTTGATGTCATTGTCTAAGCCAGTCTAAATTTAATTCGAACTTTTGAATTTTTACTCAAATCTATATTAGATTCAAATATATCTTGTCAAAGTTTTAAAAAAATTAGAATTGAGCTTAGATTATTCTAGTTGAGCCTGCCGATTTTACACCCCTACTACTACTGAAGAAACTTGTAGTAAAATTTATATAAAGGACATTTGTACTGGGTTAAAATAGTATAAAAAATGGCTACAATTTTAGAGTAAACTTTTATATACATTAAAAAAACGAGAATAAGTAAAACAAAATAAGAAAAATTATATTCACATAAAATTTATACAAATAATGAAATTGTGTGAATGACATTTTTAAAAAAAAAATTTATATAAATTTTCTGTTAATGTTAGAGACCCACAATTATATAAAAAGTTAGCATATATCATATCACATCATTATAAATCTAATTGTAATTTATTTATTTATTGGTCTTAAACATTTTTCGTATATATTATTATTCATTACCCATGGAATAAAACTCGAAATTTAAGCCCATTAGGCTTGGGTATACATTTTCGGGCCGAGTTCGACCTATCAAAAAAAGTAGACTAAGACATTGGGCCGGCCCGATGCTTAAGCCCCACCACTGATAAGTATATCATCAAACCGATACTTCAGCGGTTGCACGATAAAACAACCGCAGACGAGCCACACCCAATTGCCGAATTCCACTAAATAAAAGACAAAAGATATTTTATAGCGTCAAATTGAAGTATCTATCTACCAGAAGAGAGAGAGAGGCATAAACCCTAGCCGCTCAACTCTCTCTCTTTAAACCCTACTCTCAGCTTCTGTTTTAGGTATAATCTTTTCGTGAACCCTATAAAATCTAGAACTAATTTTCTGTGTTGAGCTAATTTTCTTTTGATTTTGTTGTTTATTATATTATTTTGATTTGATGTTGTTTTATGTGTTATTAGTTACTTTGTTTTGTTTAAATATGAAGTATGAGTTGGAGGGTCTATTAAATTTTGGGTTTCTTCTGCATGATGTTGAAGAATTGGGTTTGTGTAGTTAGTAGACTCTGTGGGTAGAAAGTAAGCATTTTTAGCTCATGGGTTGATAATGGTTTCTGCCCAAAAGTAAAAATGATAATCTCATTAAAGAAAACTATTTTTGGTTCTGAAATATCATTGTCACATTCTATACATTTTTTTTTTTTTTCATTCAGCATGATATTTCAGAATGTGATTTCTGAAGTAAAGTTTCAAAATGTGAAATAAACTTCTCTTGCACCACTCATGAGGTTTGTTATGATATTAAGCTGTACTAAGTTGATATTTTTGTTTCACTAAAATTGGAGTTGTATCTGTTTTCTTTGTTGGGTGGAAATTGCTTTCCTAATAATTGTTTTGATGTGAATGATAGCAGAAACTCTTAGTAGCAGAACATGATCTTTTCCCAAGTGGAAGGGTTTGCTTGGGGAATGGGAAATATGGTCTATTTCCTTCTCTTCTAAATAGTGCTTCTTGATTATGAGCTAAATTGTCTTCATGATTATCATTGTGAATCCCACTGACAACGTTTGGATAATTATTAAATTACTCCAATGTTGTCATAATTTATTAAATTGTTTCATAAGAGACACTATCCTGTATGTTTGGACAATCTGGAACGATTCGTGAACATTCTTATACTCTGAATTCATTGAGACTTATTCCATTGTTCTAAGATCATTTTGAACAAGATGTAACCATGGTTCTGTTATTCTGGCTTGCATCTCTTTCTTGTTCACAAATTCGTACTACGGTTGCATGAAGTTCTCCATGCAACTACAGAAATCTGATTTATCCTAAAGTTGAATAGTTTCCAAATTTGAATTTGTGGGCATTGCTGATGGTAATTGCAAGCAAAAGATCTCTTGGGGTAAGATCAGTGAAGATTGGTTGGATTAAACTTGTGAACATTCTAATTAGCCCATACCGTATTGCCCATGGTTGAATTTTTCGGCTAACACTTGTTCTGGGCAACAATTGCTCTGATTGGGCATTTTTGACTGCAAGAAATATTATTCCAGCTCTATAGTTTTTTTATTTACCTTTTTCTGTGATATATGATTTCAAACTTGAAAACTTAGAATTGAAATGCAATAACTGTTTTTTACATCATATGAAATGCAGGTTCGTGGAGTGCAAAGTATAGTTTGATTGTCAAAATGGCTTTCTGTAATAGATTTGCAAGTATAATGAGGCGAACCATTTCCCAGAACAGTGCATCAATTGGGCAGGTTCCAACGGCATCTATGCTGAATGCCATTCATTACATGTCATCTTCCAAGCTTTTCATTGGAGGTATGTGCTTGAGTTTTGTTTTGTTTGGTGAGCTAAATATAGTGCAAGTTGTTTTGGTTCCATAATTGCTTTTGAAGCACCATCGATTTATCTATTTACAGGTCTTTCGTATGGAACCGATGACCAGTCTCTCAGGGATGCATTTTCTGGCTTTGGTGATGTTGTGGACGGTGAGTTTAAATCTACCATGGATTTATTTACACTATATAATGCATACATGTTATCCTGTCCAAGTTCATAAAAAGCATGTCATGTATGAGAATAAAGCTTATATTTAATAAACTTGTATTGTCTTTGGTTGGCAAAAAATGTATTTGGCCAAGTTCTAAATTCATCTGTTATTACAGCCACACACACTTGTTGGTTATGTACGTGGAAAGTGTGCATTCAGAGTACAGAAATAATCAGTAGGATTTACATCTAATGACTAATACTAAGAAAATATTTTTTCGGGTTTAATGGAGGAGTTTTCCTCATATTTTGTTTTCAAAAGGTGGAATTTATGTAGTATCTTTTATATCTGCCATATTTATCCATTCTTCTGCATGATAGATTTTACTTCATTTGCTGAGTCAACGTGTTCTCTAATTACTCACTTAAGCTGTGTGATTTGGTTGATTTGTTTGCATGTGCCTGTTGAATATGATTGATCAAATGTTCTGATGATGACCCCCATATGCCAACATTCTTGTTAGTTGATGCCAATATAAATTTGTATCATAATAGGCGAGAATATTAGGTTGCGTTTGGTAGAGTTTTCTAAATATGATTTGAGAATAGAGTTGTATTTTGAGTTTGTGAGTTTTGGAATTATAATTTGAGTGTGAAAAATTTGCTTGGTGAATGAATTTTGAAGAGAGTTTTAAATTGAGTGGGGACTTTTTAATGTATCATATGATATTTGATATAAAAATTTACAACTCATAACCAAATACACAACTCAAAGTTCTATTCAAAACTCAAAATTTTTTAAAACATTCTGAATTTTTTTTTATTTAAAATATAAAGGTGGCATTTGTAAAATTAAAAAAAAAAAAAATGCATTGTTCCGGTCAACCGGCTAGATATCCGGGAGGATGACTGGCCAGACATCTGGGACCGGTTAACCTAAATTTTCCTGCTTTGGACAGAATTTTCAAAAGTGAGTGGAATTAATTTTTGAAAATCGTAAACAAACACCACACTCAAATGTAATAGTAGAGCTCTCTAAACAAACACCATACTCACCCCCTTCCAATTTACAAGTTTTCTATGGTGTGTGGTATTGTGGTAGCTTGTATACTCAACTTTCAGTGGTTCTGGTGTGCAGCAAAGGTCATCACTGATAGAGAAACAGGGAAGTCTAGGGGATTTGGGTTTGTGAACTTCACTAGTGACGAATCTGCCACCTCGGCAATGTCGTCTATGGATGGACAGGTGAGAATTTAATGCGGTAGGCAATGTTTCATACATATATTTCAATGTTCTTGCTTTTGGTAACTCTAACTTGCTCTTTGCTTCCAGCCACTGGATGGGCGGACCGTTCGTGTGAGCTATGCCACCGAAAGACAATCATCTGGTCCCAGTGGTAATTTTGGAGGTGGCTACGGTTCTGGAAATTATCGTGGTGGGTATGGTGATGCTAGAGAGAATGATCGTTTCTAAGCCATTGTTGGATGGTTTTGCTGTCTATCGCATCGGCTATGCTAAATTGTTTACCTATCTAGGATCATGAGGTGCATTACTGTGTTTTTAAATTTATTTTCCAGACCTAATTTTGTTATGGCATGCTTTCAATACAAATTTGCTTTTTACTGCCTAAATCTGTAGTTCATGTCGTACTCGCTCTGTTTGCATTATTTTGCTGGAAGGCTGGAATCATATATCTCAATTACAATGAATTGGAATGAATCATCAATGACATTACAAATTACAATTACGTATATAAATTTCTACAATGGGAGATAAAGATACCACAAATAAAAAAGGGTAGATCCTCTTCTTTTCTTTTCCTTTCATTTTTTTTATTTTTATCTGGGTTGCAAAAGGGCTTGGGAATGAATTTTTTGAAAACCCAACAACTACAACTAGAACTAGAAAGTTCTCAAAAAAAAAAGAAAAAAAAAAGAAAAAAGAAAAAGAACTCCCTTACACAAAGTTCAAAATTCATCTAATCTCAAAATAAAATATTTGTATTAATTAGTTTTATATATTTTTAATTGTTACTAATTTTTCTTTTTTTTTTTTAAAAAAAATGTTGTTACATTCAACGACTTCCGTTAGACTCACTTAAGACTCGTCGGAATATTCAACATCAATGAGAAGGTGTCGGAGCATTACTGGAAGTTCGCCGGAGTGTTTTGAGCATCGTCGGAAGTTTGTCGGAGTATTCTGAACGTCACTGGAAAATTTCAAGAACATCATTGGAAATTCACCGGAATATTTAGAATATTGTTGAAAAAAAAAAGAATAAATGGAGAAATTATAGCTAAGAAACATAACAACAAACAATAATGGGAAAAAGTACATATTATTTTTTAATTTTTGTAGGGTTTAAGAAAATAATCTGTAATATTGATTAAATTGAAAAGTAAGTTTTGAGATTGTAAAATGTTGCAGTTTTAATTTTACAGTTTCAAAGTATTATTCTATTAAGTCAGAAAACATATTATGAAATTGTAAAATTTTATAGTTTATAAGGATGATTCATTTTAGCACCAAAAAGAGTAAAAACTTTAAAATTTTATAGTTTTCACCGCTTGTAATTAAAACTTAAAAACAACTTATTCAGAACTTGAAATTTTTCTCCACTAAAATAGAAAAATAACCGTGTAATAGAGAAAATGTAGAAAAATTAAGAAATCGAAGGAAAGAATAGATATAGAAAGAATATTATATTCCGACAACTATTTTTAGTTTAAATCTAGTCGGATCTTATGTACATCTACTTAGATCTGATGTAGATCTACATTAGATTTGAGCAGATCTACTCATTTTTTTCGTCGTCGGTGAGGATGAAGTAATAAGTTGATGTCGGTGGTTGGTGATTGTCGGTGAATCTCAATCAATGGTGGTTGTCGGTCACCGATAACTATATATTAGAAAGAAAGAGAGAATAAAGAATGTGTGATCACCAGTCGTCGGACATGACAAAGAGAAGGAGAGGAAAACATAGAAAAAAAAGAGAGGAAAATGTAAAGAATGAGAGAAAACACAAAGAGTGAGAAAAACGTGTAGGACTTTTGGATCCACTAAAAAAATTATTAGATTAAATAGTGTATACATATTTCAAACAGGACGTCCGGTTAATTTTTTTAAAAAAGAACTAGAAATAGAAACCTGCTTTGATTGATTTGATACACATTTATCATGGCCCAATAACTTATTGGCCCAGCAATTTAAGTTACGTGGATCTATTAATATGATTTAAAAGTTTTAAGTCCAAGTTATTAGTAATAATCTATTTGATTTGTTACATACCATGCTACCTTTCATATCCAATCAATGTGGATTATTACGAGTACAACTCATATTTATGACAATTGTTTTCATTAACTCAGAAAAAATTTGATCCAAATAACTTTGGCAAATGCAATAGATAGAGTGGGCCTTCCTATTCACTCGTGTGCATGTTACTATTGATAATTTAAATGGGTTTAAGTGGATATTCATGTCAACCCATTTAGGTCTAGTTTTAGGTCCCATTTGGGATAAATTGTTTTAGCCCTTCTTGATTTTTTTTTTTTTTTTTTGACTATTTTAGCCTAACTAAAAAAATTTGTTTGGGATAAATTTTTGATTTTTTTTAATTAAATAATTGTGAGAGAAAAAGTGAAACGATTATATTTTAAATATAACATTTTGTCTTATTAATTAAATTAGCTTATTTTATATTTTTGTCGGCTAATTTAGCCTCAATTCATATGCAAACTTGCCTTTATGTGCAAGTTTCTTTTTAAAGTAAGCCTTATTTCTCTACTTTCTGATTCATCACTCTGTAATGTTCGGGTAGAAAATTGAAATTTTTTGTTCTCTGCTTTTTTTTTTTTAGTGATTTTTTTCAATATTCTAAGCAATTTATTTATTTTTTAAAAAAATTTTAGACATATTTAACATAAATATATTTAAAAAGTATAATATTTATGAAAAAAATATTTCCAAAATTCACTAAATTCTAAAAATACAAAAAAAGAAGAAGAAAAGAATTCAATACATTTTTCGTATTTTTGTCTATTTATTGATTTTTTTATTTATAAATATTTTACTTTTTAGATATAGTTAAAGTGTATCTAAAAAAGTTAAAAAATAATTAAAATTTTAAAAATATTCATTAAAAATATTAAAAAAAAAACACAAAAAATAAAATATTTAATTTTTAGAAAATTAAATTCAAAAAAATTACAATCAAACACTATTTAGTGGACATGATTTGAGTTCAGTCCACTAAGCTCAAGCTCATATAAATCACTAGTTCTCCTACCGTGAGCCCACTTAGCTTGATCAAAACGGGCCTACTGATTCTATTACTTTCCTTTTAAGGATGGATTTTGAATTTATAAAATTATTTATAGAAAATAAAAAATCTTATTTTATTTTATTTTATCTTCATAAATTTAAGATTTAAATGCTGAGGCCTGTGGCCGAGTGATATGTAACCGCGCACCTTAGGGAGCAGTGAGTGGAATCTCTGGGATTCGAGTTGATAAATTAGCAGCTACCTCTTTAAATTGTAACATATTTTTACTAATATACAAACATTCTATCTTTGACAAAAAAAGAAAAAGAAAAAAGGATTTAAATACAGTCATAACATGATATAGTGAAAGACAATAACACCTACTGAGACTCCGTTAAATTCATACTCAAGCCACAAAGAAAATACATGGGAATAATTTGTGGCAGTATGTTGAGAATGTAAATAAATAAAGTTGTCAATTCTCTCTATTAGCATATGATTTTAAATGAATCGATGATTAATAATTCATCAGGGTATCAGAATAAAATCACTCTGTAGAGCAGAGAGCTCTATGAAAAACATATAATAAAATTATTCTTCTTTCTAATAACTGAAGTTTTAAAAATGAGTTAATGGTTGGCATTTGAGTCTCTGACCAAATAAAGTCTGATTTAATATTAAAAAAATAACATACATAACATATAGTAGAAAGATGTGGATTAGTTCACAAATCACAAAGTAAGGCATTTATATTTCATAAACGTGTTGTAGTGTTAAAAAACCAAACTGTCTACTATTCATTGACTTTAATATTAAATGTTTGCGAGATTTCTATAATTAAAATAAAAAATTAAGCCACGGAAAAACATTATTATAATTTAAAGTCATATTTTATGCATTTAAAATTACTTTTAAAGTTGAATTGAAGATATCACAAAGTGTGACACAGTTTATATAGCACTAATGTTTTGGTACTTCCCCAAAAGCGACACACCTTTGGATTCCTCCCAAACAAGTGGGCTTGCATTCAGACTTGCTGACTCAATTCCATGAGTATATTATTTTGACTTATTTAAATATAATTTCTTTGTAATTGTAGCTTCTATGAAATTTCTATTACATGTTATTGTAAATAAAATAATGTAATGCGTTTAGTCAAATTGTAATTTTTTTTTGTTGATATATTATATGAATTTAAAGATGTCATTTGACTTTGGAATGTTCTTATTATAGGGCTCTTTCACAAGTTAATAGAATTGGGTTGTTCAGTGTAGATATATAAATCATGTTAATGTAATTTTTGTAATAATTGAATTTTTAGCTGAAAGCAATTATTCTCTGAAAATGTTTTCTTGTTGCATTCAATTTCCTTGTGACTCTGATAAACCATCCATTAGTTTATTAAAAAAATTTTTTAATCTCAACATTAATTTGTTAAAAAAAAAATTCAATTCATTGTTGACATATATATGTGTTGATGGACACCATTTGATTTTGAATTTTTTTTCCCCCAAATATATTATTGGAAAATGCATGAGACCCTAGTGGGAGTGCTGGGGGTCTCTTGTGATTGGTCCAAAAAACTATTTTTTTTTTTTTTACTTTCAGTCAATGACAGAGCCCCATGTGACACTGGGGTCACGGGGGTCTCCCCACTGGGGGGTCCCCAGCAAAGTCCTATATTACTTGTGTACTTTGACCTTCTAATAAGGTGCTGAGATTCTAGCCAAATGAGCAATCCCCCAATTGGCTGAGATGTTCTCAATTTTTATTCCAAATTATGCAGTAGAAAATCAGGAAACACTACAATTTTTAATAGTAAAATTAGTAGCATATATACACATAGCCTAGGAATCTTACTGAAATTCTATATTGATAAAAATGAGATTAAGAATCCCAACATCTTCCCCATATGACCCCAAATTATTACTAAACCCAAGGCATTAGGATTAGTGTTGTCCACTTATAATGTTTTCTTTCTTGCATTCAATTTCACTGAGGCTCTCATAGGCCATCCATATTTAGAATAATAATAATAATAATAATAATAATAATAATAATAATAATAAGGGACATTTAATTTACATACAAGTCTTAATTTATGAACTTATACTCTATTAAGTCCTAACTAAATTTTTTTAGATTTTCAAGTTTCATTAAATTTTTAATAGTCAGAATTGCTCTTTAAAGAATGATTGCTCATCGTTTATGATTATCTATAAAAGAATATGATGATTTGACATTTATTTTGATTTTCAAAACTTTAAAATATCAACTTTCAAATTGGAAAAACTAAAAAAAAATTGTGTGAAAAAAAAAAACTAATCACTATGTTTGTTTCTAGTTTTTTGAAAACACTTTTCAGAAAATTCTAATTTATTGTTTTCCGTATTTTTTGTTTTTACCGATTTTTTTTAATATTTTAAGTAATTTTTAAACACACCT